TTTTGAAAGAATTTTTCATTGTAACATGTTGGTTGCATATATTGATTAGTCAAAAAAAGTATTGGTTCTTTATTATGTATGGAACACAGTCCAAAATTGGCCCAGTTCATTTATAAATTCCACTTACTGCTTTTACTAACTCTGACCTTCCCTCACCCTATTTCTAAGCTAGAGGATAACTGTTTTCCCAGTGTAATAACCAACATTTCTATAAGAACTAACTAAATAAATAAATCACAGAGCCATTCAGGGGCTTTTGTATATCCAGATACACTTCTGTGATGCATGGGCAATATTTGTCTGTAACAAATATAAAAATACAAAGAATAGCACTATCTAAAATCCTTACATAGGCTTCTTCTACAGAAAGTATTTTCTGTGTAAACCAAACTCAAAAAAACATATTTTAATTCCTTTCATCTTACCCAGTGGCTTTTAAAATATATGTATAAACTGCTTCTTAATATATCTACTACTTAATTCTCACTGATTCTCCCTAATAGAGATCTAGGCATGAAGGTTTGTATTTACTCCTGGGTCCTACTTTAACTACTCTCTTTATGAATCATATTGTATGACCAGTTTTTATTTATTAACCACACAGGGATGTGTGACTAATGTCACTATTGATTGATACCTAGTTACTGGCCAAAGAAACAAAGCTATGAGCTGGGTCAGGAAAAACTGGCTCAGTCACTGCCTCTTTTTTGTTTGCCCTAGATATAAAATAAATACCACAGCTTTCAGGATGATCATTTGAAATATGATATTTGCACTCTTCTAAAATTCTATCTCATTTTTTTCCATATAAATGAAAAATTTTTAAACATATGGTGTAAAGTGAATATGTATAATAAATGAATATATAAAAACTATTATAACAAAAAATATTGGCCATGAATCTTAGAAAATGCACAGGTGATATAATCATCTTCTATTTTATAACTAGGGGTCAAAGGTACAGAAAGTGGGATTTGGAGTGCATACAATCTATCAAGATAAACCATACATTTTATGCTAATTAAGACCAACTTCTTCTGTCTTCTATATTAGCATTAATTTAGCACTTATTGATATCCAAACTTTTGCCATTACCAAAGGCTTTTCTCTTTAGGACACATTTCCTTTTAACCTTCTCAATTTATAGCAGTCTTCAGGAAACATTAATAATGTAATTTTTAGGTTATAAAGTGCTTTCACAGATATTGTTGCTCTATATGATTCTTTCAAAAATCCAGTAAGATATACAGGGAAAGCACCATTACTATCCCAGTTTTCAAAATAAGGAAGCTGAAGCACGATTAATATTAGTATAAGTGGAAAGACCTGAGCTGGAGTAGAGACATCTGACTTCAAATTCGGAGCTCTCTGAACCATCGCAAATCTGTATTAATTGCTTATAATATCCACATATACTAACACTCTATCCCAGTTTTGATATGTATGGATATATATTCAATGCTCAAATCTACATTTATAATGGCAACATATTTTAGGAATGATCTCCTGCCATATCCATGCCTTTATTTAGCTATCTTTTCATTGAACATCCTGGGAGAACATCCCCTGCTCAAGCAGCCACTTTCCCTCGGCTTCTGTGCCTGCGTCGCTTCTTATTGGGGCCTTGAACACCCACCCCATCTGCCAAGCTCCCTTGATTGAATTTCTGGGGCTTTCCATGTGCATTGGGATTTCTTCTATGACATGGGGCTTTGCTCCTTTGTTGTTTTCTTCTTTGAGCTCCATTATCAAGAAGGTTATTTTTGTCTTCCCTGTAACCTCATTAATGCAAGATGGTGAAAGATAAGACGAGAACAGACATCAACAGAGGGAAGTGGCTGAATCCACCACGACTCTTCTCTCTTTATCACTTCTTTCCTTCATTTCTGTTGGGAGCCTCGGAGCTATTTTTCAAGGAAATTCTTGGGGTAGAATATCATAAATTTATATTAATCACATCAGTATTACCCTCTTTAGGGTATTTGCTATAAAGTTGGCTACAATGCTTAAATATTCATAAACTTTTGAATACTTGCCCGATATAGTTAATCTCATTCAAATCTTTACTGAAAATTCTTACAGAACAGGACAAAAATCTTGTCATTTTAATCTTTTCTATGTCTTTATTTGTTAACCACTTATCTTGTACTTATAAAATACATTCAAAGATATATGCATTACCCCATCAAGAGTAAATACCTCATCTTTTTATCCACTAGTCTTGCCCTACTTGAGCATATTTGCTGAAGGCCTGAGTTGAGTGGATATATTCAGCAAGAAGAGGAATGAATTAAACTTCATCCCACTGTAGGTAGAGGGCAGTGGAAAGCAAGGTAGAAGATGCTCCATATCTGATACCAACTTTCTGCCCTGTCTCCTCCCTTCTTTGCCTTTCCCTCCTTTTAGTCCTGATGGTCTCTTCTTAGGCTCTGTTTAAGAACATGCCACTTCCCAAGATAGAGATGGGTGGAGAAGAGAGGAAAAGAGAGGGCTTTTTTTTTTTCTTTCTGAATATATTTTTACATAATTTAACTCAAGCTTTGTATATGCCTCTTTCTGGGAAGAGATACTAGGCTCATGGTTTTGAGAGTCATCTGGATAATGGAGGATATGAGAAAAATTATTGTCTCTTCCATACGGCATAGACCACAGCTACGAAGTGAATCCTTGGATTAATCCAGTAGGCCACCTCCAGGGAGGCGGGTCAGGCATCAGTGCAGAGATGCTACATTACTTATATCTTGTGCCTCTTACGGTGAAGGATCATTCATTTTTAAAATAATATTAGCCATCTAATTCACCAACTACTGAAATTGTACCATTTTTATATCACTTAAGATAGCAGAAGATTACTCTGAAATATCCTACCCTTAGTTTTTGGATACCTCTAAATATCCATTGAATTCCAGGGAGTAGAGAGGTAAACGGGCTCTTCATATTTCATTGAGGGGACTGCACATCCCTGCTCTGACAGTCCACTGGCTTTCCCCCTCACAGAGGCACCTGAGTGCAGGAGGCACGTGCTGCTTCAGGCTGCATCGGCAGTGTGACCTCTCAGCTGCCTCTGCTAACTAAACTGCACAGGTGAGAACATTCTATTTGCAGGAGACTCTATTCTGTCTTTGTATAAAAGCACAATATTGCACATTTTCAGCTAGTGCCAGTAAAGCCAAAGGGAAACCTTGTAGGAGTTTTCAGTCTAGTGTACACACAGATACTAGTTCTACTCCCACACCATTTAACAGCTCATAAAGTCAGTTAGAGTTATTCCTTTGATTAAGAGAGATTTAGTGAAGGCGAGCCTAATAACTATATTATGCATAGCATTTAGTTGCATTAGAGAGTTTTGGTATTCTCTGACTAAATTATAAGCCCTCTAATGAAATATTAAAATGAGATATCTTTGAAAACATACTGATATGGATCTATCAAAAAACAAGAAGCCTAATAATGAGGTATAAAAGGTTAATTCCAGGCATAGCAAAATGGTAGCTTGCCAAAACTGACAGCTTATCCACCTGTCTACATAAGAAAAATAATTCATTTATTACGTGTGTGTTTTTCTGACATCCTTACTTGTTCATATTCCATCACATCAAATTTTTACATTTTGATAAATTTGATCATTACTTCTTAGAAATTTGGATACATACCATGATACATCTTCCCAAATCAAATGATGTGTACTAATGCTAAGCACTGTATTTTAAATACTTTACAAAGTTAGTGTCCATGTGTCCCTTACATTCATATTCCCTACTGGAGAGAGTTATAGGAAATCTATTTAAACCATAAAAAAACAAAAATAAATAAATCCACAGATTTTAGCTATTCTAAAAATGAGAAATTTCTATAGTCAAAAATGAAAAGATCAACCATGTCATTTAAAACTAAGACAGGCTTTTCTTTTTGTTTCCCCCACTGATAAACATTACACCTATATTTTAAAAATACAAGCTTCTGTTCTTTCTACAGTGGGGAGCAATTTGAAAGCTTACACAATTGAAAATGGTTCTTACGTAATTCTTGTTCTTGCATCTGTTATCTGAATCAATGGTTGATTGAAATAAATACTTCTTTCCTGAAAAATTATTCCAAATTTCTTTTAAATCAGCAAAGTCACTTTCTCAGAGTGTGGGTTTTGTTTGTTGCTTATTTTTTTGTTTCTTTACAGGAAGAATCACCTAACCTATTCATGACTGGCTTTTCCTGGTCCTGATGCAAAAGCTTTCTTTTGATCATTTATTTATGACTCAAAGCTGCTTTAAAAGACATAGTTGCAGAATAAAATATTTAAGCCCTCTGACAGATCAGCAGGTAAGCAAAATGAATTTACATTAAAAAGAGTAGATACTAATGAACAGTATCTAATATTTTAATCAGTATATATCAGTTTACAAGAATTGCTAATAAACTCTGTATTTTTTTTTTTTGCCACGCATAAAATAATTCTAATGATTAATTCAACAAGAAAGGTAATTTATTTCAGTTTAATTACATGACAATCACTTTGTTAGCACGAGTAAGGAATCATTTTGCTTCTCCGGAATTTTCTTTTCTCCCTTCCCATCCCCACTGTGGACAACGCCTCACAGAAAACCAGTTGCCCCTCTGTTTCCAAAGCCCTTCCCAGCAGACAGCCTGTTTCCCACACGTTGGTATTTAGATACCAACTGATAACTTGGTGGATTCAGCCCCTCAAGGCTGTTAACAGCCTGACTTCTACCCTGTTCTGTTGTGTCTGCGAGCGAGTGAACTTCTCACGCATAACACCCGGTATTTACAGGACAAAAATAACATCTGTAAGCTGGAGCGGGAGTTCGCAGTGCCTTCAGCTCTGCTGAGCATGACACATAATTGGAGTGCTCAGAATCTTAAGGCAGTTGTACAACAATTTTCTCAGGTGCATTTCAAGAGTCCGTGAAGACTCGCGGTCTCTGTCGAATGGCTTTATTTATTTCCTTTCTGACTGGGCGGAAGGGTCTGGAAAGGTGACCTACCTTTGTGCGCCAGGCGCAGGCGGGGGTGCGAGGGGCCGGCCGCGTGGCCCCCGGCCCACAGCTCCAGCAGGTAGCCCCACAGCAGCCAGGTGAGCAGGTGCCCGGCCCAGGCCATGCCGCTCGCCCGCAGCCTCCGACCCTCGGTCTCCGGCGGCCCGAGTTTCACTCAGGACTCCCCTGCGGGGGCCGCGTGGGAGAGGCTTTGTCAGAGCGCGAGCGCCTTGTCACCAGAGAGCACAGTTCCGAAGTGCCATTTGTCGGGCGGTATTTGGACACGCAAAACCTTTCTTTCCCCGGGACAGTTGTTTATAAGCCGGGAGCAGGAGGACATTCCAAGGAGCGAGTCTTCAGGGCCATGTCCTGCGCTCTCTGCGCTCCCTGCGCCGGTAGACTGGGGAGGGAACGCTGGGTCGGTCACTTCTGCAAGTGGCTCATTCAGGGACGAGCCCCGAGCCCACGCGCCGCCTCCTCCGCGGAGCTCTTCCCGGGCTCCCCGCCGCCGCTCCCAGCCCGCCTCCCGCGCCGACTTGCCAAACAGCGCGCAGCAATGCACCTTCC